GGGCCAAGTACAGTCCCCAAGATCACAGCCTCATGACACACTCCCTTTGATTACATGGTCCCCCTATGTTTCCTTTACCTCCTAATAAGGCTGTAAAATTATTCTCATTAATGGACTAATCCGGTGATGAGAGCCCTCATGATCCAATTGCCTTCCAGAAACCCCAACCCTGAACACATGAGACTCCTGGGGGGACATTTGAGATCTTAAACCAGAACACTTGGTTAAGTCAATTATGTTTTATTCCCACCAAGGGCTGATTTCTACATAGACAGTGATATCATCTGCAAAATTAGACCACTGTTTTTCCCCTTTGCAACTTGTATGTCTATTTTTCTGCTTTCCTCATCCCAGCAAGAACTGCCAATACAATCCTGAAGCAGAGAGGAAAACCTGGTCTAGTTATGGTCTCTTATTGTTCAGTACAATGTTGACTGTGAGCTTGTCGTGGCTGCCTATTACTAAAGAAATTCTCTTCCAACCCTATTTTATGGTTTTTATATTGAATTTTGGTTAATGTTTTTTGACACATTTTGAGATCATACGCTTTTTCTTTAGTCTGATCATATGAGAATTATAATGATTGATTTTCAGATAATGAGTGCACTTCACGTTCCTTGGATGAAATCTGCTCATCTAGGATGTGTTAGAATTTTTGTGTATTAATGGATTTGTTTTGTTAATTTGTTAAAGAATTTTTTAGATGGGTCTAAAAGTGTAATTGCTCTCTATTTTTCTTTTTTTAAAGTTTAAATTAGCCATTTTTAGTGGCCTATGCCTGTAAGAAAGCTAAAGCAGGAAATTACCAGTTTAAGTCCAGCCTGGGCAACTTACATAGTTAGTGAGACCCTGTCTCACTAAAAAATACTTACGTACTAAAATGTGTTTGTTGGGGTGTGGGTTCAGTGTGAAGGCCCTAGGTTCAGTACTTCAAAAAAAAAATTTTTCTCAAATGTACTTTGATTTTTAAACAAATGACATTTTCAGAATGTATGAATTTTTTAGAACCTTTAGAATAAAGGAAGAAAATTTTAAATGAATTTAAGAAACCACTGAAATAGAGTACAGGATCTGAAGATTAAAATTTTCTTAAAAAGTTTAGTAAAAATCATTTTACTTTGACTATTTTGGTAAATTCAAGAAAATAACACATTTCAAATATTGATAAGCATATGTTCACTTTTTTGGCTTTATGCCAATTGTTAATAGAATAAAATGGACCAATTTCTGTAATACTTTTAAATTTTTCTTTGCAAATATTTTTGTCTCTTAAAAATTAAGGAAAATTACTAAGTTCAGATCTTTCACAGTTTAGACTACTTGACATACTGTAATAAAGTGGATCAACTACTTGAACAAGGTCATAGCCTTTTATAGTTCTAATAATAAAGGAAACTTGTTAGCTTCAGAGTTTCACATTTTTCTGCAAGTTAAACAATGTCAATTTGTCTCTCTTTGCTTCATGACAGGTACAAAAATTATGCAATAAAAACCACTTCAGTAGAAGCCTTATCCTTTCCAACCCTTAATAAATGAAATTCATGTTTTTTACATATTAGAGAAAAACCTTACCCAGCTTATCAGTTTGTTGTGATATTTCTATACCTAACACTAACATTTGTTTTCTAAATTAACAAATATTGTTTAGAAATTAGCAAACATCTGAGCAAATAAAATTAATTTGAAGTCACAAAAGTTTTCATGGAAAACAGACAAAAAAGACAAAAAAAGACAAAAAAGACAAAGCTCCTGTTCACGATCGTTTACACTAGACGCAGAGCCTGGCTCTGCAGGTGCATCTTGGCTAGTGGCAGAATCCAGGTTGCTGTTGTCCACAGGAGCTTCTTCATTTACTTCTGTTGTTGCTCTGGCTTGGGTTCCAGGAGTCTCATGTGTAGGAACCCTGCTTTCTTTTCTTCTCAACAACACTCTTAGGAACCAACTTCTTCATATCCCAGAAACAGGCCCAGAGCTCTTTCATCTCAAAGTGGTGGCATCATATTATGACACTCACTGCACTGCTCCTCCATGATGTTCAATGGCATGTGGGAATCCAGGCTTGATGGGAGTGAATATACCCTCCACAGCTCAGACTAGCAGCGCAAGCCATCTAGCAGTCACAAATCCTCAGCCTGCCCTAGCCACTTGGTTTTTATGTGATACAGACCTCATGAAATGAGTTATATTTTCTCCTCTTCTGTTTCCTAAAAGAAGTTATATAGGTTATTTGGTAGAATTCATGAGTGAAACCATCTGAGCTTCAATCTTTTTTAGGGGAGGAAGCTTTTTTTTTTTATTAAACTGATTTGCTCCTTTTAATTTATATAGGACTTTTCAGGTTATTTCTCTTCCCTTAGTTTTGGTAATTTGAACATTTTAAAGAGCTCTTCTCTTTAATTGCATAGCTGAATTTATTGGCATAAAATTATTCATCTAGCTTTTGATTTTATTTTTTTTCTGTTTCTCTTTTCAAATTCATTGGCTTGATTCATCTTTTTCATGTCTTTCTGTTTGGGGGGAATATTTATTCAGCTGTGTTTTGTTTTTTTACTTCTAAAGTGGAAACTTAGGTTGCTGATTTTAGATTTTTCCTATTTTGTAATATAAGCATGTGATGATATGATTTTCTTCGAAACAGCTTTAGCAATAATAAATTTTGACATGTTGCACTCTCTTCAAGATATGTATTTATTGCGTAAGGGATTGGTTTAATTCTGTGTTCTGTTCTTTTTTGAAAGGCTTTGTGTTCCTTCCTTTATTCATTCATTCATTCACTTATCTTCTGTGAGTTGAACCCAGGGCCTTCACATGTTATGCAAGCATTCTATAATTCAGCTATACTCCCAATCCTCAAAATATGTTAAAGTTTCTTTTCATACTTTTTGACCTGTGAATAATTTAGAAGTTAAATGAAGTAACACATATAAAACCATTATGACTTGGAACATAGTATATGGTCAAGACTTAGATTAAGGATGGCAAATTAATCTGGCAGAGAAAATTTCAAGTTCAGCCTATAGCATGGATACTGTTTACTGCTTTTAGTCAAATTGCTAGTGAAAATCAGGAGCAAAAATCCCATTTAAAAAGGTTTCAGTTTTGCCAGAAAGAAAGAACCTGTGTTAAGTATGATAGTGGATACCTATAATCCCAGTACTTGGGAGGCTGAGGCAGGAGGATGGCCAGGAGTTCAAGGCCAGCCTAGACTACAAAGCAAGACCCTGTCTCAAAATAAAACAAAATGCCTTTGAAGATAGAGCAGAAGAGTTGGGTGGCTGAAAGAATTAGCATTAAATACTTTGGCTCAGAACAATAGGAAACATTGCTTGAGTGCATGTCAGGAATTTGCAAGACCCCATCCTTTATGAGCTCAAGGGGGAAAAGATCTAAGACTTTGTTTTGAAATGAGAGCCCCAGGGTACCCTGCTTTAGAAAGGCCACCTAGGGAATTGGTTCACCAGGATTCAGTTCACAGTGCTAAGTCATCCATATACTTAGAAGTCCCTGCTGCAGCAATTCAAGGGAGGCCTAGCTATTGCTTGAGACAGTGGCAGACCTTGGTGTCTTTCCTGTGGTGCTGCTTTCATAGGCGTGTATCATGTAAGAGTTGTAGGGTCAGGGAGGTTTCAGAAAAGGGCTTCCAGGCAATGTGCCTCTGAGAAGACAGTGTGTAAAGCTCTGAAAGTGAAGCGAAAAGTGCAGTGGAGATCCCAGAAAGTTAGAAAAGCCAGGAACGTGGAATTTCTGAGGAAGCCACAAGCAATGAGCAAAGCCAACCTAAAAGACAAGCCATGAGGGCTACCATCACCAGCAATGCCTTAAGGACAAGGCAACCCAAGCCCTTTAAAGTTCATATCTTGCCACATCTTGCCCTAGACCAGCATCTTGGAACTACAGCATGTAATGTCGGCCCTGCTGGGTTTCAGTCTTGCTTTGATCCCATTGGTTTTATTCGCCTATTCCTTCCTTTTGGAATATGAATATTTATCTTATGCCATTATATATCAATAGTATTTAACTTCTTTTTGATTTTACAGGGGCTTATAACTAAGAGATTCCTTTGACTCTCAGAATTTGGACTTGGACTTTTCAGCACTGCTGAAAATGTTAAGATTTTGACAACTCTTAAAAATGAACTACATACATTTTGCATTAAAAAAATGCACATGAGCCTTTTGGGGTCCACAGGTGGAATGTTATGGTTTATATGTAAATACCCTGCAATAGTCTCATGTACTGATAGATGAGGCTGAACAGCTGGCTTGCTGGTAGGAGGTGGGGCCTGGTCAGAACAGATGAGTCACTGGGGATGTGATTTGGATGGGTATATCTCCCTTCCCAGATCCTTTTTTTACTCTGCTTTCTATCCTGCATGCCATGAGCATCATTCTTCTGCCGTGCTGTTCTGCCTTGGAGCCAGCTGACTTTGGATTGAAATATAAAACAAAATATACCTCTCCTTTTTTAAATTATAGGTGTTGGGTGTTTTGTCCCAGTAGTAGGTTAGTGACTATGACATATGGTTTATAACTGATGGTCTTGTTATTGTCTATAATTTTTCATTTTATGTCAAAATTGAGATTGATATGAAGGGAAAAAAATTTATGGGAATCCAAATAACATAAAATTCGAAGAGGTAAACATGAGCTTTATCTGTGCTACTTTCTTCATTGATTTAGTGTAGTATATTATTCAATTGAAAGACCTGCCCCAATCTACCCACTTAATTTATGAATCTGAAGCTATCTCTTCAGAATTACCACTGGGATTCTGAGCATGATTGTACACTTACAAGTGCTTTGCGAAGAGAATGAGATGGTAAGGTTTGCTGAGATGTTCAGGAAGTATTATCAGTAGGTCAGGACTCAGCATGGTGTCTTATGGCTTCCTGACCCAGATACATGATCAAGGAAGTACAGTTGACTCAGACTGCCTTCCCTGGTTCCTTTAACATCTCCTTGGGAACTTTATTGATCCTCTGCTTTCTTTGTCTTAAACAGGTGGGCTCTGCATTGCTCAGTCAGTGAGAATTCCCCAAGAGCGCAAAGACAAGACCATTGACTTTGACAGAATTATCAAACAGCTCCTGGACACTCCCAATTCCAGGGCCATCGTGATTTTTGCCAACGAGGAAGATATAAAGTAAGGATCATTGGTGAAATTTGTTCATATGCATGTTGCAGATTTAAGAGACAGAAAGATTGAGAAGCAGCCAAAAAAAGGAAAAATAAAGTATAATATAAGATCTATAATCATATATGGCAATGTCTGTATCTGCTTTCTATCCCAACACAGGTAGTTATAGTTAAAACCAGAAATAGCAGCATGTTGTGGTCATGTATAGAAAAATAACTGTGTTCAGGCTGGGGATTTAGCTCAGTGGCATGGCGCCTTCCTCACAAATATAAGGTCCTGAGTTCTCCTGGGGTGTTCTAGAGGGGGAAAAAAAAGAAAATAAGTGTATTCAATTATTGATTTTTAAAAAAACACTGTTAAAAAGGCTAGTTTATTAATAAAATATCCAAATATAGCAGATTTTAAACAAAGAATGATTCTTCTTACCGTAAAAGAAGATAGCATTATCATTCTGGCTTTACTGCCAATGCTTTGTATGTGGTATGTTCAAAACAAAACTCATCATAACTCTACATTCTTCAATCACTTTTCCATTTTTCCTGCCTTACCTGGATCTCACTTGAACTAAAAAATCTGCTTGTAATCTGATTTTCCCTTCTTTCCTAGTTTCTTGCATTTGTAACCAAGCCAAGTAAAGCCAAGCTTTGAAAGGTTCCTAGAAAATGAGCCCTGCTTCCCTTGCTAGCCACTACCAATCAGATCCAAAACCTTTGTTTTTGACTTTTTATAGTAAATGATTGTTATACAATACCAGATTAAAATGTAAAAGGAAAAAGAAAACTTCAAAATTCTCCTTTCTAGATGTACTGGCTCATTGCTAGTCTCTACATTCTTTATTTGTGGTTATTCTCTAGATAGATAGATAGATAGATAGATAGATAGATAGATAGATAGATAGATAGGATGTAATTTTAAAATATAAATAATAACAGATAAGAT